AAAAAATGGGTAGAGGAAGGAGAACAAGCGGAAAAATGAGAAGAGAGATCAGACATATCAACAGATAAACAAAGACAGCATAAAAACTGCAAAAGAATGTGACAGGACAAGATGTAGGACGACTGGACATGGAGGGAAAGGGGGGATACACAGCTGTGCGGTTTTTACTCAACTTCAAGAGCTTCAAATGAGGAGATGCTCCTTCATATAAAAAAAAAAAAAACAAGAAGAAGCAAACTCCTATATAGTACAGTAAGTGCTTTGTAATCTTGACCCTATTTAGTGGAACCCCCTCAAAGCCAACCCCACTTCTCCGACCACCTGATATGTCTGTGTATGCTTCCTAACACTCGAACCAGAGCGTAAAACCTAGATGTGAATAAACCATGTCTGGGATTTAGCGAAAAGTGACGGCAAAAAATAATGAAAGCAAGCTCCACAAACAGAAGAGCATGCAAACTTTTTCCATATCCAGGAATCCCCTTTCCTATCAAGAGAAGCACTCAGAAACAACCCATCATTTAATTCTGCTTATTGCAGTGCAGCTGACATCAATAGTTTTTTCTTTAAAGGGCAATTCCACGATTTATCTGTGCAGCGGTTCGAAGCTCCATCTATGCACTGACGCAAGGGGTGAAGAGGGATGCATCAAAGATGCAACTGATCTTCTGAAAAATGAACTGTTAAAGGAAATTTATGGAATGCTGACGTCTCTTTGTGGCTATATGCATATATATATTTGTGTGTGTATATATTTTTGCCAATCAACTGGCTTTAAGGGGCTAAAATATAATAAAATCTACTAGTAACCAGAAATCGCATTTTGAATACTCTTTCAGGACCATATGAATGCAACCTGTTTTAAAAAAGCATAGTAAAATAAAAACAAAGTATGACTGGGAATATACAGTATTCCAACACAAACCAGCTGGATTGATCTGATAGCTCGAAACAAAAAGGGGTTCCAGCGGCTACCAAATGACACGGGTAAGAGAAAAAAGTAATAATAATAAAAAACATAAAACTTCGCTCAACCCCAGGGCTGTGTTAAGGCTGGCTTCACAGTGCCTCCCTGCACCTGCTATTAGTAAGGCATGCTGCTGCCTCTCTCCGCTACATGTCTTTGTCAATCTGTCCGTCAACCAAGAGTTCCCGGCAACAGAACAAATAAAAATGTAAGCAGAAATATGTAAAAAAAAAAAAAACCAAACAAACAAAAAAAACATGGTACATTTTACAGAAAACGCACTAAAGGATAAATATTCAATATAAAGAAATGCATATAGACTGGGCATTTTCCTCATATTTTAAGCATATTCTGCTTTGATACATATCCCAAAACAAACGAAACAAAAAAACAAACAAGCAAACTACACTGGAAGGGGCTAAATAGAACAAGCTCTTAAGATCGAGCAAACGAGTGATTGTATTCAAGTTATATTTGCACGTGCAAGAATTTCAAGGCAAAAGCGGGTCTGCTGCAGACTGCCAGAGTCCAGAGCACCGCTAAGCCTCGCTGATTCAAAACACTAAAAGAGACACATATGTGACAGTTACTCAACAGGGGCCCAAAGAATAGCTTATTTTAAAAGCCATGTGTTTTTAAACTCAGAAAGGGCAGATGTCAGGAAATGCGAAATTTAAAAAAAGAAATTTAAAAACTTTTTTTTTTGGTCAGGCCACGAGTAAACAGAATAAGTCATGTGGGTCAAGATATGTGGGTTTACTGGGATCCCAGCCCAGCAAAAAATGGCAACAAACAAACAACATGAGAAGAGAAATAAAATAGCGTTTTGAACCAGTAAGTGCACTCTCTTTTCGAGCTTCGCTTCATTTCCTGTGAGCACCAGTCAGCCATGAAAAACAGCTTTGAAATTCTCATCAACCTGTTGTTAGAGCACTCTTAAGAGAAACACAGCATGAAAAGGTCGACTTCACAAAAGTAAAATAACACATTCTCTCAACACAAAGCCTAAAAGGTGGAACTTTAGGACAGTCTTTTTTTTTTTAGCTCACAGTGTCTCTCCATACAGCTCAGTTGGATCGGGAACGAGGGAGGTTTAAAGGATGTTCAGTTTAGGGGGGAGAAAAAAATTGCTCTGGTGCGGGGGTTTTGAGGCCACACCAATGGGCTCTTCATTGACTTTGTCTCCTTTTTCGGCTTCAGGGCCGCACAGAGAGATAACAGTCCTGGTAGTTAATGGAAATGTTTAGTTGACATTCGAAAGTTCTAGTATCCAGTAAAACAGAGCATTTATAGTCAGTGAAGTAGTCGCTCTATTTGTCTTTCTATAGTTTAACGAAGAAAGCTTGTGTAAGTGAGTGAATGAAGGATCGGCGCTAGACATAAGCAGAGGAAAGAAAAAAAAAAACAGAAGAGACTGCATGTGTGAGTGTCTAAGTGTAAACCATAAGGGCTGCCTATCACGGTACAACATGACGTGTATTGATTAAGAAAACAAAACAAGTGCTTCAATCTAACTAGCAGACTTTTCCACCGAACAAGAGTGCTGTGAGTTTGTAGGCTCCCGTAGCTCTGCTCTGCTTGGGGCTTGTGTGTATGTGTGTGCGTGCATGTGAGTGTATGGTACGTAAGACGTCAGGGATGAACTCAAGGCAGTGAACAGTCGTCCGGCCCGTCGCTGTTTGAGGCTGTGTCTGAGCCTGCCGCGTCAGAGAGGACACGTCCTGAAGTGACGATGACCGCCCTCCTCTGCTCTTCCTCCCCGGCGCCACCCTTCCCCTGGGTGCCCTCGATGTGCTGGATTGCCTGAGGGAAACACAGAGGCAACAGATGTCAGTGAAAACACCCCCCTCTAGTGGTGGGATATGAGGCAGGATTTTGTGCCTTACCTGAACGATGGTATCCAGGTTCTGTCGAGATGTGGAAACTGTGTTGATAACTGATGCTGGGCCCATGGTTACCACAGTAACATGGTGGGACTGAGGAGTCTGGACAGGTGCAGGAACAATGACTGTAGCGTGGTGTGTAGGGGCTGGGGGAGTAGCAGGAGCCAACACCTGGTAGAAAGGTGCAATCACCGTTTATTATTCTCATGTCATCACTTCTGCAACCTCAGTGCACGGAAGGCACATTTTTAACCTGCACAGTTTACTATTAACATATATTAAATTTGTACATAACGTTAGCAGTAATACAAAAATACAACCCCAACTCCAAATAAGTTAGGATACTGTGTAAAATGCAAAGGAGAAGAGAATATATCATATCAGTTGTTTAAACTTAAACAATTAAGGTCATTTTGATTTTCATGGCAAAAACTACCTCAAAAAAGTTGGGAGAGGAGCAATAATAAAAGTAAGTGGTACTATAAAAAAAAGAAA